AGATAAATGTCTGTATAGATAATACACTATATAAACACTATATATTTATGAATACTATATAAATTTTGATGTTGACCTGCTGAGCAAAAATTACTTAATTATACATGAACTCTTTTGATGATTTAGATTTCAGTGAAACTACTAAAAACAGATTTCTGATAAAATAAACATTATGAGTTTCCAGGTAAATGCCCGAAGAATAAAAAGATTAATATTAATAAGATCCTTTTAGAACAAAAGAAGAAATCAAATGCTTTCCTTTAAATTTTTAAGCAAAAGGAATAATAAATTTCAATGACACTATAGATGGGGAAAAGTTCTATCTCTAACATTTCATGAGAGCTTTTTCCCTCTAAGAAGCTCATAATAAAGTTTTAAATGCATATGTAAAAATTCTGTGGGTTGCATAATACTTGTTCTCTTTGTCATGTAAAATTGAAAAATAACATTTGATGTTAAAGTAAAATCAGATGCTGGAAAAAATGCATTTTATTACCACATATCACCACTGAATGCACTAGGAAAATATGCTAAAGTTAGTTATTCTGTGCATATATACTAACAGCAATCTTCTCCTCATCACCTGATTAAGGCTGCTGATGCTAATGCTTTAAATGAATTTTGATGCAATTTTACCATTTCTTAGCTTACCAAGTAAGAACATGACAAGAAACAAAGACCTAAAAGTATGTGGTTAAAATAGTAGCAAGACATTTAAAAAAGACGGAAATGTGCCCCACCAAGATGGCTCAGTGGGTTAAGTAGCCGACTTAGGCTCAGGTCGTGATTTTGCGGCTCATGAGTTCAAGCCCTGCATTGGACTCTCTACGGTCAGTGTGGAGCCCATTTCAGATCCTCTGTCCGCCCGCCCTCTCTGGCCCTCCCCTGCTCACACTCGCTCGTTCTCTCTCAAATATAAACACTTAAAAAAAAAAAAAAGAGGGGAAGTGTATATTAGCCCCATAAAATGAGCATGCAAGAATAACGCTGTGTTAGGCAAACAAGAAAGGCATTCCCTATGACGGGGCACCTGGGTGGCTCAGTCAGTTAAGTGTCTGACTTCAGCTCAGGTCATGATCTCACAGTTCGTGGGTTCAAGCCCCACATTGGGCTCTGTGCTAATAGCTCAGAGCCTGGGGCCTGCTTCAGATTCTGTGTCTCCCTCTCTCTGCCCCTCCCCCACTCATGCTCTGTTTCTATCTCAATAATAAATAAATTTAAAAAAACATTTAAAAAATTTAAAGAAAGACTTCCCCTTTGATTACAGCAAAACCACATTTGAAACCCCTTCAATCCATAAGGCCCCATTTATCAAGTTCACTGCACTGCTCACATAGTAATCTTTTGGCTACAAGTCACAGAGCCTTTTTTTTTTTTCTGAAAATGTATTTTCATCCTGTTTTCTTGTTTTTACTTTCTGCAGTCTGACTACCACACACACACACACACACACACACACACACACAATGTATATATACACCTGTAGGTTATCTATATTTTTATCCATATATTATATACATGTGTAAGCATGTATGTGTGTATACACACACACCTCTTTACTCACAATTTACTTATAAATTACCTACTGTGTATCTGGGTCTATGCCTGATCCTGGGGATGGAAAAACAATCAAGATTTGGTTCCTGTCCTCAAATAGAAAACATAATTATAAAACTGCCCCCTTGATTATTTTGCATAACACACATGCCTTCAGTATCACTTGCTGATGGAACTGCCAGGCCTTTTCACGAGGGAGCCTCCTTTTTGGGCCATCTGTCTCAAGTGAATCAGCACAGTCTGGTTCTAAACTTTCAATCTGCACAGTTCTGCATAATTCTTACTCCTAGTTCCCTGGCCCCTCACTGCCTAACACATTATTAGTCTAACCACAGGCAGTCAATCAATAGTTGCTGACTGGTTGATTGCTTGGTTGAACCACTAATCACCAATATCCGGAAACACAACAATAACAAAATAATGGCATCTACTAATTGATAGCTTATTAGATATCAGTTACTCTGACAAGCACTTTATATACACTGTCCCATTTAATTCTATAATAGAATTATTTTCACATTTAATTCTATCTTTTGAAAGATGATAAACCTAAGGCTTTGAGTTTTAAGCTACTTGCCTAAAGCCATACAGCTAGAAAATGATTTCCAACTCAACATTCTGCCATAGCCACTATTATCACCTTTCAACGAGAAGAGTCCTACCTATAGACGGCTTAACTCAACAAAAAAATATTTTTAATTTACTTTGAGGTGGGGGGAGAGAGAGAGAAAGAGAGAGAGAGAGAGAGAGAGAGAGAGAGAGAGAGAGAGAATCCGAAGCAGGCTCCACACTGTCAGTACAGAGCCCAATGGGGTGCTCAAACTCACGAACTGGAGACCATGACCTGAGCCAAAAACAAGAATCAGACACTGAAGGGGCGCCTGGGTGGCTCAGTCGGTTAAGCGTCCAACTTCGGCTCAGGTCATGATCTCACGGTTCATGGGTTCGAGCCCAGCATCGGGCTCTGTGCTGACAGCCAGCTCAGAGCCTGGAGCCTGTTTCGGATTCTGCGTCTCCCTCTCTCTCTGACCCTCCCCTGCTCACGCTGTGTCTCTCTCTCAGAAATAAATAAAACATTTAAACATAAAAAAAAAAAAAGAATCAGACACTCAAAACAACTGAGCCACCCAAGCACCCCCACCCCACAAAATTTTGATTCATATGTAGCCATATACTAAGGCGCGAGTCAACATAAACAGCTAACTCAATCAAAAGCATATAATCACACACACAAAAAGGATATTAAAGAAAAGCAAGCATTTAAGCTATATATATTTATGTAGGTGTGTTTAAGACCATTGTATCTTTAAGATTTTTCACCAGATTAGACTCCAGAGATATCTTTTCTCTGCATTAGTAATCACTGTCAAGACTAAACCATATAGTTTTACCTACTGAAAGGGATTTTGTTTTTCACAACCCAGCCATGAGCATTCAGGTGCAGACTGTGTCTTATCTACATCCAATCCTGGCCCCAGCACAAGGCCTGCCACATACTGGGTGCTCAATACATAGCCATGGAATGCAGTCATTAAGTCTTAAAACTCTGACCTTAGGTGAACGTTCCATTTATCTGAATGCCTGAGAATACATATATATCTGGAACACCACAGGCAGAATCAGTGATGAAATATTTAAGCAGAGCAAGATAAACTTATATTCCAACATATGAAATCTGAACCACTATTTCTTAAATGTAAATACATAAATATAAAACATGTTAACACCATCTTCTGACTAGAATTTTAATTATAGCAAAGTTGGAAAATTTCACATTATCTCCACAGTAACTACACCCTGGCAAGAGATACAGTAAATATGTGTGAACGCTGGATGCACTAGAAACAAAACATAAGAACTCAACTGCAGTGGTTGTCAAGATTGCAGGCTTAAATTTAGCAACTTAGCACATTTAATCATAAATGCCTAATTTATATCTTATTTCCTTGATTTTTATTTTATTTTATTTTCTTGAATGTTTTATTTATTTCTAGGAGAGAGAGAGAGAGAGAGACAGCGTGAGCAGGGGAGGGTCAGAGAGAGAGGGAGTCACAGACTGAAACAGGCTCCAGGCCCTGAGCTGGCAGTCAGCACAGAGCCCGACGCGGGGCCGAACCCACGAACCGCGACATCATGACCTAAGCGAAAGTTGGACGCTTAACCGACTAAGCCACCCAGCCGCCCCCTTATTTCCTTGATTTTAACAATTACTAGAAAGGTAAAAAAAAAAAATAAGTATGCATATATATATATATATATATATATAATGTATTATACATTACATAATATAGTGAATTTTGCAAAGTACAAAAGAAGATCAGTAAAGCAGTCTCATCCTGGAGGTTTACGAAGCATTTTATGATACCCTACCCAGGGTAGCACCTTCCTCACAGATGTTAGTAACTTGTATTAAGTATAGGATTCATTTGGCCCAGTTTATGCTGTCTTCTATCAGTACTTCAAGGATCATCCTTATTTACATTTGACTTCTATTACACTCAACTGCAAATCCTTTTTGGAAGCTGGTGGAAGAAAAATATCCTGTCTTCCATTTTTAGTTGATTTTTGCCACAAAAGTAGTGACTCTCTAAAAGTCCCTTGTATTCTACCCAATTCCTGATCCACAGCAAATACTCAAAATAAATTCACACATCTACCGAGAGGAAAGTAGTAAGCCTGCTACGGATGTCCCAAGGTTACCAAACTTCTGAAGCTCCTATCTCTAAAACTGCAAAAATGAACATAATAGTATCTATCTCATAAAATTACCATGAGCATTAAAAGTGCCTAGCAGAGAGCGTGCACTTGACTATTATAGGTTTTATTTTGAGCCTCCGTTTCTTCATAGGTTAAAAAGGATCAATAAAATCTAACCCAGAGCTGTGAGAACTGAATAAGCACAATATGTAAATAAACTGGCATAAGGGCCTGACATGCAGCACGTCCTCAAAAAACCAGAATTCCTTTCTTTGCTACCTTGCCTCTGAACTACTTTAAGATCCAGAAGAAACTTGGGGCGCCCGGGTGGCTTAGTCGGTTGGGCGTCCGACTTTCGCTCGGGTCATGATCTCGCGGTTCATGGGTTCGAGCCCCACGTCGGGCTCTGTGCTGACTGCCAGCTCAGAGCCTGGAGCCTGTTTCAGTCTGTGACTCCCTCTCTCTCTGACCCTCCCCTGCTCACGCTGTCTCTCTCTCTCCTAGAAATAAAACATTAAAAAAAAAAAAAAAGATCCAGAAGAAACTTAAACATCAAATGTAGTAGAATGTAAAGAGTTGGTTCAAAGAATGTAATCTATCATTTTAATAAACATTTTTTATGGCACCAATACAACTTTCCCATGAAAGACTACAATTATTTATTAATACATAAAACGTAGCCTAAGAAGAAATATTATAAGAAATTTGAGTACGTCTTTAAAATGAGCATTTGTTCCTATTTTTACCTTTTCTTCTAGCTGGTCCTTCAAAGTCTGATATTTTAGCTTCAGTTTTTTGTTCTCCTGTTCATTCTGGGTTAATTCCTCTGTCAGCCTGTCACACTGTGACTTCAACTTCTCTAGCTGACAAAGATGGACTTTAGCCGTGTTCTTATCTTCTATGCTTTCTGCCTGAGAAGAAGAGAAGAAGAGAAAGTCCACTGGCCACAGCCAACCTGTACACCAAAAAGTTACACATTTTAGCAGTGGGTAAAAACTTCAAGATTTTGCTCTATGCAGCTGTACGGAAACATACACACAAAGAAAATGCCCTTTGCGTTTATTCAATCACTCCGCAGTGCTCGCGAAGCACTCCCTCAGCGAAAGGTCGCAACTAGGTGCAGAGATAATGAACGTGAAGAGAGAGGAGAGGCCTCAGAGGCCTAAGCTCTCCATTCCACAGCAATGAGTGAGGAGTGCAGCGGACACTGTACCAGCCCAGGGAGGGGACATCAACTCTGCTGAGGGGTGATGACAGAAGTGTCCCAAAAAGGAAATACTACCACACAGTACTGACTGATCAGTTTCGTCATCTATAACCCGGGGTTGTGTGAAAGAATTATATATTTTCAGTACCACAACATTATCCATACCACCCTTTGAGGCTAAAAGGATTATGAATCGTAACAGCCAAGAAACTACAAATAATTTCACGCGAAAAGGAGTTTGCCAGTGATTGTTTCAGTACCAATGGCATAAGAAAGTATCTGGGATTTGATCTTTTTCTGGAATATAACCAGAATCAGGTTTAAGAAAAAAGGAGGAATAATCTATTCCGTATATGGGATTCCATAAAGATTTGCCAGGCACATGAAACTTAAAATAACATCTTAAATGTTATTTTAAATATTATTTAAAATGTTTAATGAATTTTAAAATAACAACAATGTAAACACTTACTATATGTCACGCACTGCACTGCTCTCAGACCTCTCTACATGGGTTTCCCTCATTTGGTCGTCACAGCAACCAAACCAGGGAGGTACTGCTTCTACTGCCTCCTTTTTTGAAGCTGATGCCCAGAGACACTCATAACTTGGCCCAGGATATGGGATGAGTAACTGAAGAGCCAGGATTTGAACCTAGGAGTTCTCTCTAATGTCCATGCTTTCAACTACTCTGCCGCACTGCCTTCAGAAAGGTACATTTATCATTTTTAAAAACCAGCTGGGTACACTTGTCAGTGTTAACTGGTCACGCCTACCAGTTACCAAGAGCCAATAAGCAACTACCTATGATCTGCTTAAAATATATTAATTCCTAAAATATATGTTTCTTTTCTTTTTCCAAGTGTATTGTAAGTGTGTAATCAGGCACGTAGGAATTCGATCATTGGAATCAATTTCCTGAAAGAAGTTTTGTCAGCTTTCGACAAAATCTATATTATATTCACCTCACAAAATTCACCTAAGACCAGATGCCATTTTAAATTAACAAAAGAATTGATTTCAATGAGGAATCCTGTTTTCACAACCCAAAAATAAAACTACAAAATAAAGTCTCTCATCAGGAAAATTGCTCAATTATGATTTCAAGTTTCAATAGAATGCTTTGCCATTTATGATTAATGAAACTCTTAGGTATACAAGGTTCCCCCTAAAGCCAAAGGCGAGCTGGAGCTGGCTCAGGGAGCCTTAAGAACCAGTGGAGCCCATCTCTTCCCGACACTGCCCCTCTCTGGTGAGATCTTTCGTAGCCTGAAATCAAATGATATACTTATACGACACTAAAACCGGGCAAATCCTGTAAATCAGGCTTTCCCCCTACACTCACTGAGAGCTTATTTTAAAATACCTATGAGCACACTAATGCCTAAAGTTGGCCAAGAACTCACTTCTTGTTGTGGTTTTATTATTACATTTACACTTCACTCTAAAGTTTACAAAGTGATGTCATACTCATAAAAACCCTGTGGTAAAGACATTACTAGTCCCATTTTATTGATGAGGTGCAAAAAAGTTAAGTAACTTGACCAAGGTCAAAAAGCCAGCAAGTAGCAAAAGTAAAGAGTTCAAATCCTTGGTCTTTTGATTCCAAAAAAGGCTCTACGAAAATTATCGTTGAAATCATAATCATAATATCGTTGAAACACATAATGATAACCCAATATCCTTCAAATATTAATAGTAGCTAGAGTATTTCATTAAAATATTTAAATTTAAAATGTTTAAAAGGCATAAGAAGAGTAGCTCTAGATGGGGAAAATATATAATCTGTGCAGAGAAAAAATATGGGTAATGTATTAGACTCAAAAAACGTAATAAAGGTGAACCCAGAAGACAAAGAAATATAATATTTATAGAGCTACTTGTCCAAAGTCCTTCTACACATAATTCCTTGTACTAAATCACCTATGATGACCATTATTAATTCCTTTTAATTACTATAAATAAATAAAAAGTATAGAATTATGTTAATGAAATAGCAGGAGGCTGGGGTTGTTCCTGATGGGCAACTCATTCAGTTTAAAATGAAAGTGCTGAGGGGGGGGGGGCGCCTGGGGGGCTCAGTTTGTAAAGTGCAGGACTCCTGGTTTGAGCTCAGATCATGATCTCATGGTTCCTGGGAGCTAGCCCTGTGTAGGGGCTCTATGCTGACAGCCCAGAGTCCGCTTGGCATTTTCTTTCTCTCTCTCTCTTAAAATAAGTAAACATTTAAAAATAATTAAAATAAAATAAAACAAAATAAATAAAATAAACTGTGCTGGGCTATCACAATCTCTGGTTCTCCTTTTAAGCTCTTTCGTTGCTTTTGTACTACATTCAAGAGTGATAGTAACAGCCTTCCTATATCTGTTTTTCAAATCTAAAAATGCCTATAAAGTTCAGAATATCTGCAGCGTATCTCTAAATTATATATTCTTCACATACAAGTAATTTCTTACAGCTTTACTGTGATCTACCACACATGAACACAAAGCACCTCCCCAAAAAAGGATGGGGAAAACCACCTAGTCTCCTGTTGAATACTATCTACCCTGTTTTGATCCAACCCCCTCACAATTCCTCAGGGACCTTCTCCACCAATCTCTGACAAAAGGAATGAACACGTTTTTAGTTCTTTTAACCTGTCTGCCACATTTGATACTCTTGACTATACTTTTCCTAAAATGCCCTGCCTAGGTTTCCAAGATACCATTCTCTTCTGGTTCCCTCCTCTCATATAATCCTTTATTCTTAATTGCTAGAACCTCTTTCTCAGTACTTCCCTTATAGATTGGTATTCTAGAGTTTCATTCTCTTTCCTCCCTATACGCTCTCATCCAAATCCCATAATTTCAACTACCACCAATATGTTACTGGATCCCAAATATTTAACTTTAATCTCAATTTCCTCCTTAATGTCTAACCCATTATGCACTAAAAACTGTTCTACCTAGACTTTCATGGTTAGGCTTCAGGTCCTTTCCACCTAACTCAAGATGCTAAAAAACTGGATTTGTCACTGTTCTCTCCAAATCTGTTCTGTCTGCATAATCTACCTTGAAAAATAGCCTCATTATCCACCGAGTCACCCAACTCTATACCTAGTCATCATCGATTCTACAGCTTTTCCAGTACAGCAGTGTAGTTAAGAACAAAGGCACCTGACTACCTAGGTTCAAACTCTGTCACCACTACTTTCTAGCTGTGAGACCTTGAGCAATTAACTTCCTATGTCTCAGTTTCCTCATTAGAGAAAAAATAGCAAACAATCTGCAGGGACAATAAGAGTATTAAATGGTTAACATATGTAAGTTTCTTACAGTCATGACTGGCACAAACTGAGCGTTTAAAAAAAAAAGTCAGCTGGTATTATTATTATTGTCAAGAGCCAATCAATCAACATACAACATATATTTTATTTTCTTTAAGATTAGCTCTTCCCCATAACTCTGACTCTCCTTTTATATGTCCTCATCAACTCTGACAGACTGTTATGCCATACTTCATCAATATTAAGACGTATTCTCTCACATTTTACCACCTCTATCTTGGGAGATAGTTGTCTTGCAGCTGATAGTATTTTACATATTTTTTTTTCTTAGTAGAATAATGATGCATCTGGCAATTGATGGTGTCTTAGGTTCAATGAAATATAGTAAAGCCCTCTTACCTATTCACCCAGGCTCCATTCTGCTCTGCCCATCCCAATTAATAACCCCAAATCCACTATTGCCAGTAAGCTACTTAGAACTGGGGAAGAATTCATAAAATAGCTGAAAGTATTCGACAATTGTCAATTTTCATTATAATTTCATTTTTCGTCATAAGCGTTATTACAGTAGTTGTATTTCAAGGAATTTTGGAAAAAATTATAATTAACCTTGTCTGTTTATTCACATATACAACAGATAACTACAATGTTCCAGGAACTGTTCTGGGCACTGAAGATACAGCTATAAACAAAACAGACTCAAATCCCAGTCCTCCTGGACTTTTCATTCTAATAAAGGGAGAATAAAAAATAAATAATATGGAATCTGTATCATATGATGATAAGTACTATGGAAAAAAACTAAAGCAGGAAGATGGGATAAAATTATCACACTGCTGACAATCATGTTATGAAGTAACTCCCCTGCATGGGGATAATGCTTATACCATTAGACCCTAGAAACATTTCCCCAAGTTCGATATCTCAATTAAGCATTTATCCAGGCAACTTTGATTTGGAAAAGAAGGGGTAAATCTCAAAAGCCTTGGATTTACACAGCTCATAAGCTGATCCACTTTAGTTACCATACTAATAAGGACTGTGGTTATAGCTTCTATGGCCTTGACAAGTCTTTGCCTTTTATATTTTGGGAGGTCACAAATGTCGAATGAGGGCACATTTCAGGTCCCCGACTTACTGCCACCTCTGCCTTTCCTGAAATCCCAAAATAGCTACATGTTCTTTTTAAAGGGTTTCAGTGCTCTGAAATAGGCGCTCCCAGGTGGCTGCTATAACTCATTTCAACCTGGCTGAACAGGCACAGATAAGCATCTTTACTGTTAATTTTATCTTCCCTTCAGTGCTTAGGTATACAGAATAATCTTTAAAAGTTTATGCTTTATTAACTTCATGAGCCACCAGAAAAGTTCCTTCAGTATCATCAGGATAATTCAGCTCAGGTACCTTCAGTGTTCTAATATGATTCTCAGCCTCACTCTTTTCCTTCTTGAAGTGCTTCATCAGCTCCTGGATGTTCTGCTCGTGTTTAGTTTTCACACTCTGCAATGACGATGTGAGATCTTCCAGCTCCCTCTGGTGAACGTCTCGCTCTAGCTTTAACTGTGTAACGATTGTCGCTGTTTCTTCGTCTCTGGATTTTGCCTGCGTCTTGAGGTCTGCAAGGTTCTTAAGCACCTCTTTCCTGGCTCTCTGTTCCTCAGCCAGTTTATTGGCAAGATCGGCCCGGATGGCACTCAAGTCCTTGACAGACTCTTGCATCTCGAGAAGTTGAGCTTTGTCCTTGGCCTGGCTCTTCTTTAGCTCTGCGATTTCTGCTTCCAGGTGAGCTTTCTCAGCTTTCATCTGGCTTTGAACCTTATTCTGCTTCTTCAATTCACTTTCTAGCCTATGGATAGTGTCCAGGGAATCCTTGACTTCTAGTTCAAGGTCAGCTTGCTGAGCCTTAATATCACTCAGTTTCTGCTCCTTACAGTGAAGCTCCTCCTCTTGAAGGGCACGCTTGGTTAAGACATCATTCAATTCCTTTCGAAGATTCTCTATCTGTTGTAACGCTGCATAAAGCTGGCTTTTCAATTCATCCTTTTCTTTCAGAATCTATCAAGTTAAAAAAAAATTCACTGTAAAGGTTATCATAGAGACTGTCAGAAAATAAAGTTTAATACACACAGAGAAGAAAAATTCATAAAATAATATTTTGTATTTTTCCATCTTTTTAATGAAAAATAATTTTAGGCTAGAAAAGGAAAAATACAATTACCCTGAAGTAGCACCACACTGAAATACATGCTTCAGATTTTCATCACCAACAAAGGTCAGTCCTTGATTATAAAAAATTATTTAAATGCAGGATAAAATTTAGCAAAAGAATGGGGAAAGAAAAGAGACTCCTATTATAATTTACCAGAGGTTGAAATAATATAATGTTAATTAAAATAACAATTATTTGCATTTCAGTTGCACAGGTTATTTTTTTAATTGCACACTTTTAAAAAGGAGAAATCTCAAAAAAAGATAAAGAAGATAATACAGGGAGGCATGAAGATACAATCTAAGAAAGGCATCAACCATCATCTTATCAGTAGTGACAAGAAATACACCAATATCTAACTGGGAGTCTTGAAGTCCCAAAAGGACAGAAATAAGATTAAGATTTGGAGAGGTTGGGAAGGGACTCAAGAGAAAAGTCAAGGGACCAGATGTCCATCATCCTCTGCCTGCCTCTCTGCAAAGTTAGGGTTGACACTGATGGCTGGAGGCCAAAATCTAACCCTCTCATCCTTACCAGCCACAAATGCAAAGAAAAAGCCAGCAGCTAAGGAAGCTGAAATCAGTTCTCCACCTCACCCCCCATGCCCAACACTGGCACCAAGAACAATCTCTGGGCCTGAGTATTGATGCACGCCACACCTTGACCACGGAAAAAAATAAGATTTGTGTTTCAGAATTAGAAATAATGAGTAAAAATGCAAATAATTACAAGGCAGTTTTACACTTTATATTTTATACTTCAACAGGAAACAATTCATGATAAACTGCAATGAGTCAATCACTCCAAAAAAATATTTTCCTCAAATCCCTGTCAGTTTATCAAGGAGAAACAGCATGAAGCTAGCATGAGAAATAATAAAAGGAGGTGGTTAAGCAGATGAGCTCTGACCAGAAAGAACTGAATATGATTCTTAGTCCAGCCATAAGTCATTCTTGGGCTTTAACGAAACTATTTATCTTAATATAGATAACAATAACACCTATATCATAGGGTTGTGATGAAGACTAGTAGAAAAGAGTTTGGTTGGGCAGAAGATTCAAGTTCAAGGAGAGGCCAGGATCTTCATTCAAGACAGTGATCAAATCTGTGAAGAAGAGGTCTAACTGATAAAGCAACGTCCCTGGATTGAAAAGACTCGGGACCACAGAGGAAAGAATTCATTTTGGTTTTTTTGTTTAAAAAAATTTTTTTTAATGTTTATTTATTTTTGAGAAGGACAGAGCGCAAGGAGGGGAGGGGAAGAGAGACAGGGAGACATGGAATCCAAAGCAGGCTCTAGGCTCTGAGCTGTCAGCATAGAGCCTGATGCGGGGCTCGAACTCATCAACTGCGAGATCATGACCTGAGCTGAAGTCGGACGCTTAACAGACTGAGTCACCCAGGTGCCCCAGAATTCACTTTGAAAAGCAGGAAAAATGGCTAGAACTAGAAGGTCTAAGAGTAGGTGTATGGTTTTTCTATTGCAGTATAACAAATTCCAGTAAACTCAGTGGCTTAAAACAATACCCATTTATTATCTCCCTATTCCAAGAGATCCTAAGTCCAGGAGAAATACTGTGCCCAGGGTTTCCTAAGGCTAAAATCAAGGTGTCAGCTGACCTGGGCTCTTACTTGGAGGCTTTGGGGGAGATTCTGCTTTCAAGTTCATCATCCATGTTGTTGGAATAATGTAGTTCCATGCTCTCACCACTTTGATCCTGGTTTTCTTGCTAGCTTTGGGCCAAGGGTTGCTCTGAGCTTCTAAGGCCACCCACACTCCTTGGCTCATGGATTCCTCAAACTGTAGCCAGTGACACCAAAATGAATCTTTCTCTTCTTTCAAATCCTTGGACTTCCCCTTCTCTCAACAGCCAGAAAAATTTCTATGCTCTTAAGGACTCCTATTATTAGATTAGGCCCATCTGGATAATCTCCTTATCTTCAGGTCAACTATGCCATATAACAGAATCATGAGAGTGATAACTCATCATGTTTACAGGCTCTAGAAATTAGGGTTAGTCATCTCTGGGAGGTCACTCTAGTTACCATACTAGAGAAGACAGAAATGTACAGAATCAAGTCTTGGCTATAAGGACAAGCAGGAGGGGCCTGAGAACAAGGAGAGGTGGCTTCAAGACAGTGATTAATATTTGGAATACATAACATAGGCCCCTGGCCAGAAGTTAAAGAGACTTTCATGCAGCCCTGAAAATAAAAATTATATTTTCAAGATGAAGCTTGAAATTTGCATCTTGGAATGCAAAATACTATAATGTCTTCCTGAAGTTGGTTTAAGCGGCAAAGGTATTTCTTTGTTCAATGAGATGGAACAGTTCAATAAGAGGGTTTCAAAACTCAGGCTCTGCCTCTCTACAATTCTCTACGTTTTGCCCTCTACTTCAGTGTTCCAAGCATCACATCACATGACAAAGGGTGGTAGCTTTAGAGAGGACAGTCACAGACTATATTGGTCAAGTTTGTAATTTCTTTGCCAATAGAGTTACTAAAAACTAAATTAAGTTCTATTTGCTTTTTGTTAATTGCTTGGCTAGTAGCCACAGCCCAAGTTTTTGTCTAGACATGGTCTCTGAGTCTGATAATGACAGTATCTCAACTGCTACATCAATATCCTGGACATTCCCAGGGGCCCTCAGTTGAATAGGCTTTATCTTGAGGGAATTCAAAACAATGGACTTGGATCCCCTTTGTCTGGCCAGGAATGCTTAAGGAGAGGCATTTGAAACGGGCCTGAGAAATCAGGCTTATTTTTTATCCCATTTTTATTTCTGCTACGTTTTCTACCTCCCTCTCTTGCTTGGACTAACTTTGGCAAAGACAGATCATTTGGCTATTCCAATGCTAAAAAAACCCCAAATTACAGACTCCATATACTTGGATTACAAATTGCAGATTTTCAATCTCTCTACCCCAAAAAATTTTGCTGCTTTTAGACAGGCAGGCTTCAACCTACACTTGCCTTTCTCTTGTGTGCCTCTTCTGAAGGCTGCAGTAAGTTCACAACACACACCAACATCCTAAAGTTTTTGTCCTGGTCATTTAATACCCCACTCTGAGGCACGGCATCACTGCCCCAACATATGATTTGTGATGGTTCAACTAACTACTTCCAATAGCACAGTGTGCCAACTTTCCCTTTAGAAAGGTAGGCTGCTCTTGTCCCCGCTTTACTCCCCACTTAGTCAATCCTATATTTTAGACTCTTTTACTTAAAGTTCCTGACTCCTAAAAATGATATTTCATACCAGCTTGAGTATCTTCTGCTGACAGTACAGAAAAACTCCAGTTCAGGTTGACTTAAACTACAAGGTAATTTAATATCATTCCACGCCCAACTGCTCCAGACATGGTGTCAAAGTTCAGGTCCACCTCTCAGAATTTCTCTTGGCAATACCTTCCTGTGTGTGAGACTTCATTCTCAGGACCATAGCAAGATAGCCACCTTCAGCCACCGCAAGCATCACAGCCCGATACAACAAAGCCAGAGAAGGAGAAAATCTCTCTTACGCATCGTCTTCAGGAGTGAGTAAATATTCACCAGAAGCTCCCCCAACAGATTTCATAAATCATTCTTCATTGATCGGAACAGGGTTGTATGCTTGGTAACTGGCCTTTTTGAATGAAACAGGTTGGGGTGGGGGGGAGATGGCAACAATCAAGACCACTGATATTCCTATGTAAATTTTGTTGGTACTATTCAGGAGCAGAAATGGAAAAAGTAAAGAGTTGGTTCGATTCCAGAATGAAGATCAGTGTGTGAGGTGGAAGAAAAAATTGAAGCTGCTGATGAGCATGTCATTAGAGTAGCTTTTCACGAAGTCCAGTTGACAGGAAAAAATAGATTCCAGGAAATGGCTGGTCAACCAGAGGAATGTGGAAAGATCAAAATCAGATGTTAATGGTTAAAAAAGGAAAACGGAATAAAAGAAATGTGTAAGATCAGACACTTAAATTTTGGAACTAAAGACATGAACATAGAGAAATTACAGATGAGGACAAATTTTAGCCACAGAAATTAGCTGCTGAGTGACTTGAAGGTCACTGTAACATGGGAAATTAGTGAAGTTTAAGGGCACAGAGTTTAATGGGTTGCTGACTTGAACTTTGGAATCACCAAAGATGATGACAAGAATTACATGTAAAGAAACAGGTTGATTGACGGAGGAACAAGGGGGAGAAGAAGGGCGGAAATGGTGGGGGAAAGGGAGAGAGGCAAACCATGAGAGACTCTTGAATGCTGACAAAAACTGAGGACTGATGGATGTGGGGGGGAGGGAGGGTGGGCATGGAGGAGGGCACTTTGGGGATGAGCACTGAGTGTTATGTGGAAACTAATTTGACAATAAACTATTTGTAAAAAAAAAAAAAAACATAATTTTAGTAGGAATAAAATAAAAAAATAAAAAAAAGAAACAGGTTGAGGGGAAGTCAGGTGCAAAAATCCTTGAGAACTGTGGAGGCGTAATGGAAAAAGAGCAGCAGTCAGGAATAATGAGAAGAGAATGTTCTAACCAAGCAAACCCTGCTTCCAAAGAAGAAAAGTGGGAAGAGAAGACTGTGAAAGAAGGGTTGAAAATGGCTACGAGAAGCCAGAACACTGATACTGTCTAAAACCTACATAAGAACAAGAACCAACTCCTCAAAAGCCTGACCACGAAGTACATATAAGTTTTGTTTGTTTATTTGAATTAACTAAAAGGTAAACAGAAATTTTTGAAAGGAAAAAGAAAGTTATTTTTCTGCATATGAGGATACATGCAGACAGACTTCTGGATTATTCTAATAATGTCAGTACATTAGCCTTTCTAAAAGCATATGATAGAACTGGTACACATTTAAAATGTACTTTAGCACTGATCCTTCTTACTTTTCAACCTTTAAATTAAAAAATTCATCTTTTAAAAGACCGTATATATTACATATACTCCTTTTCTCCTCAGGATGAAGGCAATACACAAAAGGAAAAGATGGCAATTTGAGATCCTTGAAGTCAAATATTATCAAGCAAAAAGCTCAACATACAGGGCCAAACCAATTATTCTGCCAACTCAGCAACAAAAACAAACAACCTAAGAAGTTCTATAAATTTGGAAATATTCAGAAAAGCATACATTATGATCAGAATCCAAGTTCAACACTTTTTCCTTTCTCATTTTCAAAGCACATACAAGAACCAATAACTTCAAACAGCACTTTAAGAAAGATAAAGACAAAACGCATAAAAAATAAAAAAGATAAAGACAGAAGTAACATAATGATTAGATTATTTATATCTACAGAATTTTAGGTCTTCCAATATGTGTTCATCTATATTCTTAAAGAAGATCATGACCCACTGATGTCAACATCCGTGCCATTTTCTTTCAAGGAAAGTATACAGTCTGATCTCCCTGGGGTTTTTTTCTGCAATGCTTTGTTTTTCTGTTTGATATTTCACATCATTCAATAATGAAGTAGTTCTGTAATAGAATATATATTTGATAATCTTCCCAAAATTCCAAAAATATAAAAAAAAACAAGAATAAATTAGTGCAATTTTTAGAATAGAAGCCTAATTTAGCCTTCTACTACATTTTTTAAGTGGCAAATCTTAAAGCAGAAAATAAATTATGCAGGAAAAAAGAGATAGAAGTAGACACAGAAGTATTTAGGAATCACAAAAATTGCTTCGTTTAAGCATGGAAAAAAGCTCAGCGAGGCTACTTACTAAACAATTAATTTACTTTGTAAAACATAATGTGTTTTATTTGTAAATCAGTATTATTTTTATATTAATGTATACTTCCAAATATACCCTGCAGTCACTTTTTGAAAATAATTAATCCAAAAAACAAAACGAAACAAACAAAAGGAACAGGCTGTATTACTATTGCCTTAAGGTGGCTTTGTGATTTTAGTAAGAATTAAATACTCCTTAGGGGTATTATTCAGTAAGACATAAAAATAAACATGCTTTCTTTCTGAAATTATTTACAATGTATTTCCACATCATGGATTTACTGGACACTTGAATTTGCAGTGAAATATCAGTTACCCTTTCTTCTTTGATTAACCACTGCTCTAACTGCAACATGCTGCATTAATTTTTAAGGCTTTTAAAGTGAAAATTACAATGCCTGCTGTGATAATTGTGATACTACCCTAACTGTGGCAATCACTTTAAAACTACTTCTTTGCTTATCATTAGCAATGCTAAGTGATAAAAATAATTATATCAGGAGCATTCTGGGAAATAACTGTTTAACAATTGTGAATATTCTAAAAAATTCCATCCAGAAAATTCTGCATCGTGGATTAGGATACCATCTGATGACATGGACTCTTCTAAATTTCCTCTAATTACATAAAATCCCCAGATAGTTCTCAGTCAGTCAACCCTTCTCACCCCCCTTCTTTCCAGCTGCCTCCCCTACAGGCCTGCTCATTGAACCAGTTACCAGACCAGACTGACAACAGAATAATCAAGGTAGAGCAATTTCCTGGGATCAAATCAGTTCAGATTCAAGTCTGAAAGCTTTAGAACTGCTTTACCTCAGGGCAACCAGTCACCCAGTAAGTGTCAGACGGGTTAAATTGAAAAGCACTCCACAGTGAGCGCAAGGTGATCACTTCCTCCATCTTCTCTCTGTCTGAGACATTCGTATCTGAATGGTAAAGCATCTTTTCCATGCCAGCTCATCTGAAATAAGCATCTATCACTCTTAAGGGCTGACAACTGATTTTATGACTATAATTGCCCTAAAGTTTGTTTTCTTTTGAAAGAAAGTCAACTCATCCAACTGATTATTCTTCTGGAATGTTCAGAATTCTTGACAAGTGACAAATGACAAAGCAGAAATGGATAAACCCAGACTACATATGGATAAAAGTCAATCTGGACTATTCCTGATTATCTTATAAACATCTTGGTTTAATTCAACCCAAAGATAGAGAATCAACATAGGAGCATAAAATCCATTTAAATGAACTGAATCTACAAGAGAAAAGATGATGTGGAATGCACACATGGCTCAGGGACATACTTTATGTCACTATCAAAAAGGCACAACAGCTGAGTCTTGAGGCTCCTGACCTGTTAATACTGCTCAGTGAGACTGTGAACATCACTCATTTGACTAAACCTATTGTAGCCGCTGCCAAAAAATGGTCCAGTAGAAACTACCACATTTTTAAATGCTTCTTTCCAACTGATACTTAAGTTGAAATATATAAAAAGATGAGATTTTAAAACACGTGCACTGGGGGAAAGTCAGGTGATGCTATAGAAGATTTCATAAAGTTTTTTCCATTTCAATATTAAAGAACAATTTCAATTTAGGGAACTAAGAGCTCAACTGGAGGAGGAGAGAGGAGGTGGAGCTCTTTTAAGGGCCAAACTCTAAAAATCCACAAAATGTTAAACAATGAAAAAGGCTTTCAGAAGATAAAAACCTAAATTATTTTTTTACCTGAAACAGCCAAGACATAAAGACTCTATCAAGGACATCTTGATAGACTATGTGAACAGCTCATGGCAGTCAAATGTTTGTTCAAAGGAAAGATGAATGAATGAATGGTTGGTCACAGCAAAAATCATCCTGTAGGAATTTGGCTTTTATACCTGATTATTCTTGTCTGTCAGTTGATCAAGAGTTTCCGACTGTTTCTCCAATGCTCGCTCTGTTTTCTTATGCTTAAGCTTCCACTGCCTAATGGATTCCTGAGCTTTCATTTTCAGGTCCTCTCTCCTCTTCTCCGCTGCCTGTCTCAGGGCCTCGGACTGCTGAAACTCGAGAAGGTACTGCTCGGCCTGCTTGGTTGCATCCTCAGCATGGTGAGTCAGCTCAGAGATCTGAAGGTCAGCACGCTTATGTTTGGCCTCACAAGTCTCAAAGTGATTCTGGATCTCCTTAAGTTGATCCAACATCTGTAGCTGCTGCTTTTCACTGTTCTCCAATTCACGTGTTAAATTCTGGGAATAAAGCATGTGAAGTATTAGGAACATGTTCTTGTCAAAACTGGATGCATAACATATCATCAAACAAGATGTGATCTAATGTCACTGAAATGGGAATCATCTGCATCGAAGTTCGTTAGTAATCAGTCTAGAAAATATGAGTCCCCCATTTTATAAGCACATTAGTTGGGAATAATTTTTTATAGGAATAGTTTCTCTTTTTTACAATACTTCATTATCCAGAAAGGGAAGATATGTATTTTCCAATCGACTGTCACCAAAATAGAAGGCTTGTTGCTGAAAAAAACAACGTGCATTACTTTCGTACCAATCTAGTGCTTTGTCCAACTGGAAAAAAGAAGGTCAATGTTTTAAAACTGTCAGATTATCATAGCAATCATACATAACATTTCACTTTCTGGCAGCACATAAAATGCTGTTACAATAAAATAAAACATATAATAAAAATGTGCACTGATGATAGAAACATCAGTATAGATAATATGATCCTTAAAAGTCCATTTAAAAGGCTCTCAATAAAGTGTTTACAGATAGGTTATTTCCAGCTAACTCTAACATTATAAGTTGATGAACTTATCAATCAAACTTATGTGAATCACTGTGGGACTGATATTTAAACAAACAAATTTGTAATGTGTAATAATCAAGAAAAGCAAACGTGAACTCTTAAAATCTAGTTTCTGTAAAATAGAAGTGGTCAACATTTGGAAATTGCACTAAATCATCATGATTCATACCTATTTTTAATTTGAGAAGAACTGGTGAAAATCTAAATGTCAAAAATGAGAGGGCACTACTTTTATATAACATTTTGTACAAATAAAATAATGTTATAATCATTAACATTAGGCCACTCTTATAAAGCTTCAGAAGGGAGTGACAAATTCAGAAATAATGTATCCCATAAGTTGCCCCTCCTGAGCCTTACTTTCTAAATACTTGGGGGTGACAAAGAAAACCTGAAAAGACCATGTATCCAGGGGACAAAGATGACTCTGGGACAAACAATAAATATCATCTGCATTGTTGTAAGGTGACTACAAATGAAGACTGGAAGCATAATGTTCAGTTCCAGATTCCATTATCCCTGAACTGTGGCTCAAATAAAGTTAAATGCAATTTCTCTCAGGATTAAAGTCATGGTTGGACATTCTGGCAAGAAAAAAAAATAATGTCTTAAAAACAAGCTTCATTTTCCAAGCAACAGGTTTGCATTTGCTCAGTTTGCTAAATTCAGTGCAGTCTGGAAGAGAGGAGTCATTCCTTTATCTACCCAAACAAAACAGTAAATTGAGAACTGTGCACATGTTTGTGTGGAAAATTCTAAAATGTAATCAGAAAACCACTGTGCTGGCCGTTTACCCTTTTGCCCTTATCGAAAAGTTTTACCATGAAACTAGAAATTGACTTTATTAACAAGCAGTACCACATGATTTCTCCTTCAGGAGAGAGAGGTACTAGTATTTTCTTCAGAGAGTGGGTATCCTTCCTATGTGTGAGGCACAAAGTTTACTGAATGGTTAATAAGACTTGCTTAATCTAAACTGAGGAGCTATTCACACTAACTACTAGATTACAATAGATAATGCTAGATACTAAAATGATGAGCGGTTACTTGAAAAGACCTATATTCTACAGCGTGGCTGAAGAGGGTCTCTCTTAGGAGGTGACATGTGAGCTGAGATCTAAATAAGGAACCAGTAATAATAATAATTATTATTATTATTATTACTACTACCAAAGTTTATTGAGCACTTGAGTTATACAAAGGACTAAGCAAATAAGATCATAAGAATGATCTCATTCAATCCCACTATTATTATCTCGATTTTAGTGATGCGTAAACAACACTTGGAACTGGCCCTAGATCACATACCTAATATGTGAGGAAACGGGATTCAGACCCAGATTGTCTGACTCCAGAGCCCACGTTTCCAACTCTTTGCTAAGAGGACAGATTCTCAGATGACCCTAATTCCATGCCTCTTTGTCACCTACTCCCACAGTCCTATCATAGTGAGTTATCTTTTTTCAGAGCTGCCACCTTTGAAGCAAGAGGTATGTCCCAGTACTCCCTCTCCTCCCCGCAAGCCCCTCCTCCCACTCGTTCCCACCCCTGAGGCCTTTGGCTTCATCTACCAATCTGCCCAGTTCCCTCACTCCTTTTCTTGCGATACATCTGCTCTTCATTGTCAGGAAGATGACCACGCCTTGACATTTCTTTCCCTGGCTTTAAATCCAAGTACTTTGACCTAACTTCCTTAATTTTCACTTTAGCCACTCTGTTGTTCATGTTTCAAACTCCTTCATAAAACAGAACTTGAACGGCAAAATCACCGGCTCTGGGGAAATTAACAAATTTCCTGTTTCCTATATCCAGTTACTGAGTCCTCTAAGGAAAATCACAAAGGAGTATTAGTTGATGTGATGGCACATGGACAGGCAACTCCTCGGTGCCCAAAAATTCTACTGCATGCCTCTTACCAATCCACAACACATGGCCTTTCTAAAATGTCTTGTCTCAGACCTACCATCTTTTCACTCACTCTTAGTACGTAACATAGCTCTTCTATAAGAAATAAAATTGAGGCTATTCAGCAGGACATTGCCCAAATTTCCTTAACGTACCATTCTGAAACTTACCAATGGCTGATTTGTCCTGCTCTCCAGCCTCTGAGGAAAAGGGATCCTTCTTGGATAAATTAGCCTAACTTTGTAATTTCCTTCCACATCCATCAAGGGCTTCAACTACAATTATACCCTTTCTTCCATGTATTGAACCTCTCGTTTCCTATTGGATCATTATTCTCTACCATATCCATCTTAAAAATCTGAGTAATGTTTTCTTTATGAAACAAATTGAAGAGGATAAAAATGAATGGAAAGATATTCCATGTTCATGGATTGGTCCATACTACCCAAAGCAATCTACTCTTTTAATGCAATCCCAATCAAAATACCAAAAATAATTTTCACAGAGCTGGAACAAATAATCCTAAAATTTGTATGGAACCGCCAAAGACTACAAATAGCCAAAGCAATCTTGAAAAAGAAGAAAAAAACCTGGAGGTATCACAACCCCAGATTTCAATATACCACAAAGCTACAGTTATCATAACAGTATGGTACTGGCACAGAAACAGACACAAAGATCACGGGAACAGAATCAAGAATCCAGAAATAAACCCATGCTTTCATGGTCAATTAACCTATGAAAAAGAAGGCAAGAATATACAATAGGAAAAGCCAATCTCTTTAACAAACAATGCTGAAAATACTGCACAGCTACATGCAAAAGAATGAAACTAGACCACTTTCTTAAACCATACATAAAAACAAACTCAAAATAGATTACAGACCTAAACATGAGACCTGAAACCATAAAATTCCTAAAAGAAACTATAGGCAGTAATTTCTTTGACACTAGCCATTGAAACAATTTTTCTAAGTATGTCTCCTTTGGCAAAGAAAACAAAAGCAAAATTAAACTATTAGGACTACACCAAAATAAAAAGGTTTTGTACAGTGAAGGAAGCATCAAGAAAACAAAAAGGCAACCCACGAAATGGTAGAAGATATTTACAAATGATATATCCTATAAGGAGTTCATATCCAGACTATATGAAGAACTTACACAACTCAATACCAAAAAACCAATAATCCAATTAAAAAACAGAGAACCTGAACAGATATTTTTCCAAGGAAGACATGCAGATGGCCAACATACACATTAAAAAATGCTCAACATCATTAATCATCAGGGAAATGCAAGTTAAAACCATACTGAGATATCACTTGAGGTATCACTTTATAGCTATCAGAATGGCTAAAATCAAAAACACAAGAAATTAAAAGTGTTGGTGAGGATGTGGGAGAAAAAAAAAAAGGAACCTTCAGGCATTGTTGGAAGGAATGCAAATTGGAGCAGCCACTGTGGGAAACAGTATAGAGGTTCCTCAAAAAATTAAAATTAGAATTACCGTACGATCAATAATTATACTAATGGGCATTTACCTAAAGAAAATGAAAACACTAATCCAAATAGATGCATGCACTCCTATGTTTACTGCAGCATTATTTACAACAGCTAAAATATGGAAGCAACCCAAGTATCCACTCATAGATTAATGGATAAAGATGTGATACACACACACACACACACACACACACTGGAATACTACTCAGACATAAAAAAAGAATGAAATCTTGCCATTTGCAACTACACGGATGGACCTAGAGGATAAAAAGCTAAGAGAAACAAGTCAGAGAAAGACACATACCATATGATTTCACTCATATGTGAAATTTAAGGAACAAATGCACAAATAAAAAAGAGGCAGACAAAAGATAGACTCTAAAATACAGAGAATGAAATAGCTGTGGTCAGAGAAGAGGGGATGGGAGTTATATCCTGATGAGCCCTGAAAAATGTGTGAAATTGTTAAGTCATTGTGTTGTATGCCTGAAACTAATACAGCACAGTGTATTAATTATACTTGAAGAAGAAAATAAAATCACAATATATTGTTTAAATGAAACAAAAACCTTTATCAACCCAACATGATCTAACCAGCACCCTACACTCTTCTATTAAGCCAGACTCCTAGAAAGGGCAGTCCACACCTGATACTCCACAATTTTATTCCTAATTCATTTCTCCATTCATTGGATCTGGGTTCCATTCCTACCGCACAGTTAAAATAGTTCTCATTAAGACACCCAAAGGTCGCCTACAGCAAAACACAACGGCCTCTTTAAAAATCTATCCTAGTTTCCTAGTAGGATGTGACATTGTCAATTGTCCCTTCTGATTTTTAAGTCTCTCTTCTTCCCTGACTTTCATAATACCCCTCTTCACTAGTTCTTTTTCTTCCTGCTCTTTAATAATCTCCTTTCCCGGATCTCTTCTACCATTTAGTCTTTAAATACAGATAATGGTATAGTGTTCTAGTATTAAGTACCATCCTATAAAATATCTTCAATAAGTAGGCATG